ATTTCTCCTATTCCTCACTTGTTAGCGGGGAAAACTGCAGCCTTCTGATGGCAAAGTTACTGTTTATTACCTTTTATTGAAAGTGCGCTACACAAATATAATACTTAAAACAATACCAACAATTAACCAGTCCACTAGTAAGCTCCACTGTTACATGCTTAACCTAAGTAAATTCATGAAACTCATTCTACTTTATCCTGAAGAACGATTAGCTGAAATCAGGATTTTATGTAGAATAACTTACTGACTGTAGCAGAACATGGTCAGGGGAAATAAGAGATAAAAGCCAATGTATGGGAATACAAACAAAAAACATACAAACTGTTTAAATCACTAGGTCATCGACCTTTGGAGTTATGATGTTCAATATGCCTCAGCTTTCCTGTACTTAAGACAGAGCATTTCAGTGATGTTATTTTAGCAGTAACTGTATCTCATAGCTCAAAGTGTGCAAATACCTACATTTTTGTAATACTCCTCCATTTGGACTGGACTGTAACTCACAGCTTTGGAAATCAGGCAACTATGACTCAGTATGTAATTCCACCATCCCAGATGTAGAATAAGACTCAAACTGGACAGACAGAAAAAGCTGTCACAGATGCTCAGATCCTCAACTGTACAGCACCCAGGAATGTATTCTAAATTTTTTGGAGGGTGGGGATTCACCTTATTTGTCTTTACTTTGGAGATCACTGATTTTCAAGCTCTGAAAAGAAGAAAATTTTAGTTAAGGTATAGGATAAATAATAATGCAGCTACGTGACATGAAATGCTGAACCAGCATGGGCTCACTCTGTCATTTCACATTTCTACATCTTTGTCCTAGCAGATCTCAGATCATTATCATCCAACCTCCACCAGCCAGACAAAGCTGGTATCAAGTATCAAGCCAGGATAAGAACAATAACATGGCCACTCGATAATTCAACTGAAGTGCCATCATGCAGTGATGTGTGATCCAGATAAAATTTACAGTGCCAGGTTATTTGATAATATACCGATACTATAGTAAGCACAGAGCCACAGGCTTCAAACAACTTCAAGTATCAGGGCCAATATATACTAGCTAGTTTTTACTCTGTTCTTTGCTAATTCCCCTGGCTTTTTTTGCTATCGCTAGCTGGAATTCTACTTGGGATTTACACTTAATATTTCATCGTGCACTTGGGCATATGTCATCATAGCGGCAATGTTGATAAATTATTTTTGAAACATGTTCTGCCATTTTATTTTTATGTCTACTTCTGAAATTGTATAAAACCACACTGATACTTAAATTAAAAGTAAACTGAAAATCTCCCAAAGATTTCCACCTTTTTTTTTTCTCCATATGGAATCATTTTCCCTTATGTTCCTATCTATTTTTTACCAGCCTTCATGCAGAGATCACACTAAGAAAGTACTCAATCCCCATTTTTGCTGGTTTTGCTGAGACAAACATATGGAGAGAATGCTTTTGAAATTCTCCTGCTCCCTATATGAAGAAGATGGAGAGAAAAAGTCCTTGTTCTACAAAATCCTAAAACATCACTTGAATTCTGCACAAAAGTTTCACGGAGATTATAGAGAGTAATCAGAAGAGAGAAAATATTTGTCACTGGAAACTATCTAGATTGGAAAAATATTCTGTTTATGTTCCTCCTCAAAACATATTTTCAACACTTAAAAATTTAAAGTGCTCTCATGATTTGTTTTTGATGCAGATTACATAGTTTTGTGTCTTTCCAAAGCCAACCATTAAATGAAGCTGACCAGGTAACTTTGTAAACTTTCCTATAAAAAGAAGACAAGAGCACCTATATTTTCAGTATGACTCCAATTTACATATGAAAAACAGGAACACATAAAACGTTTTTTTTCATTGTGTATCAGAAGAGTCAAAAAATCAGATCACATATAGGAATATTATTCTGCACATTCAGCTTTGCCAGCTCAACCATCTGCATACATAACTTGGGGATCATCTTTTAAAAACAGCCAAAAAATTGGTATTTCAAACTTCTGCTTTAACTAACATTCTATTATTAAATACCAGTCCTTCCAGTTAAGTAAAAGACAAAATCAAGTTATACTACCCAGTCTTCAGTTCACCTATTTCAAATAAATATTCTGCAAAGAACTATTCTATTAGAAAAGAGTTTTCATTCCTCTGTGGTAGCTATTAATCAGACACAACACTTTGCGTAACTCTAAAACTTTGAATAAAAAAAAATGGGCTAGGAATATTCAATCTTCCAGTACGATCAATAGTTCTTAATCAAAATGTGACAGTCTAACTCATGGTCTGCAACCTGATATGAGGTGGAAAGATAAGATTATTGAGAAACAAGCACTAAATGCTGTTATCTGTAATATTGATGTGTCACATGTAATGCGTATGGAGCATGAGTAATGAGCTAAAAGCTGTGTAATAAAGTCTTCATATAATAAGTCCTTCTATTGGCATATTGTTTACACTGGGTGGTAACAATCTACTAATTTTACTTCCAGAAAAGCTCTTGAAGATAAAAGGAATGTGATAATTAAAAAAAAATAAAAATAATTCAGTTAAATTCCTAAGGCAAAAGTGAAAGAGAAAGGGAGATGGAAACATACTGCTAATCACAGCTGTGCTTTGTCGATCCTTCAGTTGTTCCAGGAGCTTTCCTCTCAGAACTGATGACCGTTCAGCAATTTTTTGTGCTGTCATGAGCTTCTGCCAGAATTAGGAGGCTATTAGGGGCTAGGATCAGTTTCCCTTACCGAGGTTCAGGGAACAGTCAGAAAAGATGGGATGCCAAGTTCCATATTACTTCTTCAGAGGATATAAACTCAACCACTTTCAAAATGCAGAAAGGAGTATTTTCAGCTACTTTCAAGTTTTTTTCAACTTTTGAATAGATCCAAATTCCTAATTTATAAAATAAAATTAATATTTTGACTTATTTATTTCTAGTTACTGTAACTTTTCCTCTCCCTTCTCTTCTCTCACCTTTTTCTTCTTCTTGGTACTAGTAAGAAATGATGGTCTTCACTTCAGGTGCAGGTCTGGGAATCAGGAATTTAGGGGTTTTTTTCCCAAAGACTTCCTGTGCAGCCACAAATAAACATCTTAACCTCCTTGTCAGTTCTCACACCAGATACAAGAACTTTACCTTTATTTATCTACTCTACAGAGAATTTCTTCTCCCATTCTGCCTATGATACTTAATTGCTGACAATTTGAATCCATTCATGTTTGTAAAGAATTTGAGGATTTCAGGATGAAAGCTGCAAGAGAAAAGCAAAGTATATTATTTTTTGGTAGAATGTTTTAATTAAACCACATGCAATGGTTTCACATAGACCTTTTCCTATGATCTACATTCAAGGTGCTTGTCTACCTTTCCACAGCAAGAGATAGGCTCTTCTCAAGGGTAAGCCATATGAAGATAGCTGATCCTGTCAGGGCTGAGAGGAGCTTTCCTGTCCAGTAATGGTAACAGGGGCCTAGGTACTTTACCTGTTGCCTTTGTGAATATCTTCCTTTGTTATCTATTCCCTAATATTAATTAACTGTGTGCTTTATTTTGGCATCGCTACCAACCCCTCAAAATGCCAAGAAAAGTAAACTGGTAAATGAAAGAGCAAATGGTGGGCTAAGAAGTATTCATTCCTTTTATCATAGGGCTCTTCTAACGTTATAAGACACCAAGATTTTTCAAGCTCACCTGTAATCTTATTGGGGAAGATTTTCAAATGAAGCTGAATTAAATCAAGATCATCAGGCATGTGGCTGTGGTTTAGAAGACATCTATTTTTCTATAATCCATTCTAGAGTTTTGCCTGTGGCCCAATTCTAATTTTACTGCCTTCATCAGATTGCCACTTTTCCCCACTGCAGGCAACAACTGCTTCATTTACTCAGCAGAGCCTCAACTTCCAAACAAGATCCAGCCTCTAAGCAGAACAAACTGTTCCAGCAAACATCCCAGAACTTAGCAGATGTGGACCACTTGCTATCAGTTCTGATTTATTGCTGAAGCATCTCCTTTCATTGCCTCTCAAGGGATGGCTTCCATGGTTCACTCCCTTAAATATTTTACCTTTCTTCTCCTTGTTTATCATTGCTTCAAGAATCATGTCCATAGTTATGAAATAACGAAGGATTTAGGGTTACATACATACCTGTTCCACAAGTACGGAACAAGTTGTCTAAAGGCAAGAAAATTCATTAACACTGTATACCTTATTCATTATAATCATCTAATTTAGAAAGTCTTTTCATGGGTAAACGGACCTGAGAAACAGATGAGAGATTACACATTTGCTAATATATTCATACAGATGAGCCTCACACAACAAGAAAACAGGGTCAACTTGCTGAGACTAGTTTGTAGATTACCACAGACACGTCAGATCTGGAAACAAATCTCACTGATTACGCCATCATATGTTTTGCATAGGTAGAAATGCACATCTTTTACGCAGAAAGCTTTCAAGTACAGAAAACAATCTCATGGTTTTGTAGATGTTTGAGGGTTTTTTTAAATAATGTTGACTTATTCATGAAACATTTGTGATTAAACAGTAAACATATAACTTCTTACTCTTCAATTGTTGTAAATTGTTATGTTTTTAATATGAGAACTGTCCCCATTTCTCTAAGCATCTCTCAGATTGAGGATCAGTTATATCATGATTTGTGATGTGTAGTATCTTTTTTACTGTGTGGAGCTATATACCCAGAATGCCACATCTATAATTTTACAGATAGTGACCTGTCTTTCCAGGAGCCTCCATTCCCTTTCTTTGGATAAATTTCAGTACAATTTATGCTGTTTCTCTCACTATGGAAATTGTAAAATATTGTTTGTCTCCCACAGATAGCTAAAATTTTAACATATGCAAGCTTGGATGGCTGAAGAGGCAAGGAAGGATGTGAAGACTGTTGTGGAACAGCAGGCTAGAAACATTGAGAATACCTGTCTCAGAATTGACAACTGGAGCTTTCTAATATCAATGGAATTTGCATCTCATTCAGGGCAAAATTTTGGTGCACCTTCATCCAATCATACTTAGGATCCCACAGCTGAACTTGTTAATGAAATTCCCTCTCACAGTTAAAAATAAATAACCAAAAAATACTAAATATGAATGTGGCAGAAAGGCAATTTGATGTTTGTAATTATCGAGGTAAACTCCACAACCTGCTGAATGTATGCAAAATGGACCCTGGATGGTATATATAAAAGTGGCATGTGCAAAGAATAAGAGGAAGTATTGAGACTTCTTTCTGATAAAGCAAGCCATCATACAGGATCCCTACCATGAGCAACAAGGGGTCTTCACTGAAAGGTAAGACTTTTGCCATTCAGTTGCTGGTAACTTTTATACTGCTTTGAATTTAGATTGAATTAGAAAGTAACTGAAACGTAACAGCTCTAGAAACTGAGGTCTTCCAGCCACCTAGTCTTCCCATAATCGTGAAACCTGCCTCCATCACAAATGTTTAGTGTTCAAAGCTTGGAATTAGAAGGCATATTGATCCCTTTTTTTTTACTGTCTTTTGTCTCCAAAGACTGCCTTTGCATTGAGCAAAGTGTCACAGAAAATTGGCTAGAGGGATGTGACACCTCCACACAAAAGACTGGAACCAGACTGCTTTACTACACCATTCAGAAGGCAATGACTAAAAGTCATTACCCACAAGTCTAGAAGTGATGTAGCAATTTTGAAGTGAATGTTTTCATAACCATCTTCAACTTTCTAAGCCAACAAGTCTCAGTTTTTCTTATTCATAGAATTATTCCCCAGAGTACTTTCCTAACTGCAGCATGCGGTGTGTACCTTATTCTTGGGGTAGGAGGAAGGCTTACCTCAATACTGTGCAAATACTTAACTTGAATTTAGAGCTAGAAAGAAAGTTTTCACATGATAACATTAGGGAAAGCTCTGCTGATAAGTCTAGCTAACCAAAACAGGCAGCAGGTCAATTTCCAGAACTAAAACTCTCAGAGCACAGAAAAGTGTTCTTTGAACAAGTATGTTCATTTACCAAATATTTGCTTTTATTTTTTTCCATTGTTTTTCTGTGCATAATTTATTTCACTGAATAGAAGACTTGGCTCTGTTTAACTGTTAAGTTAATGCTGAAAGTTTCAAAGAGATGAAGTTTTGTGTTTTAGATAATGAGAAGCCCTTTATATCGGGAGAAAAGACAAAAGTTCTTTCTGATTTCTTAGCAGTAGGCAATGTAGGGTTAAACTCTAAACAGCAAAGCAGCACAGCTGCTGAAAATCTTCTAAAGGAACTCCCAGGACCATCAAAACCTTAAGAAAGTGACCTAATCACCCTCCCACAAAATTAATTTAAACTCCAAATGTTTGCAAAGAAGAAAAGGACCTGTGGGAGAAGGAGGAGAGAAAAGAAAAAAAAAGAAAAAAGAAAAAAAAGAGCTGGATCTATTTTCCAAACATGTATCTGTGTAATATAATTATGTATCCATATTTACACCATAAAGTTTGATTTTTTTTTTTCATTTATCACTATGAAATACAGTGTACACTGGAACACAGTTACCTTGTCTCCTCAAACTCTGTAGCAGGCTCTGCTATACAGTCAGAGAGAGACGGAGAGTGGAAAGGATAACAGAATTACAGTGTTCCCCTTCTCCACTGATTTCCAGCAGTCAGTATATGGAGTACTCTGAGCCATGTGACAGCTCAGCCAAAAATCACCCAGCATCTGGCTCTGACAGCTATTTCCGAATGCACATACAAGTCAATGAGATTCCATTTTGGTTTGTTTTAAACCTGAACAGGTTTGTTGCTGGTGGTTCTTCTGGTGTCCAACATGCTCCTGACAAAGGAAGGAGTCACGTCCTTGCCAATCTGCCCCAGTGGATCTGTCAATTGTCAGGTTTCCCTTGGGGAACTTTTCGACCGAGCTGTTAAACTTTCACACTACATCCACTTCCTCTCTTCGGAAATGTTCAATGAATTTGTAAGTACTCTGCCTTTTCCTGAGAGTGAGAAAATGTAACAATACAATTTAATACTTTTTAAGCACAAACATATGTTAACATATGAAATCCTTCAGTAAACAAATATGACTGCTGCACAGACAGTGATAGTCCCAGTGGTGACCAAATCTGTGTACAGTGCTGACCATTGCTAAGATCTCCAACAACTCTATTAAATGATATCATTCTTCATCTGTGGGACAAGTTTGCGTTTGCTGGGTGCCAGTTTCACTTCAAAGATTCACCAAAAACTTTTGATCTTTACACTATAAAAGCAGTGATAAAAGCAATGGAACAACAATTAGTTAATACAGTGTTTTTCTATTGAAGCTCTCTTATCTGTTTCGATAATGCCTGTCCTTGCTGATCTGCAGGATGAACGCTACGCTCAGGGCCGGGGTTTTATTGCAAAAGCTGTTAATGGCTGCCACACTTCCTCCTTAACCACTCCTGAAGATAAGGAGCAAACTCAGCAGATTCATGTAAGTCCCATGTCATTCAGTGTGAGGTAGAGTGGGGGGAGGTGGGAGGATTGGGGAAAGAGAGAGGATTAAGGAGCAGAGAGGCAGCAGACCGAGAGAGGGAAATCAGCTCAGTCAGAATAAAAAGGCAGGAAAAGGAAAGCACCAAAAAGCCAAGAGAAGTTCATTTAACATTTGTTGATACTAAGTTACAGACTATACAGAATATATAAGTATGGTAACTTTCAACTTCCCTTCCTTTTCCTGTTGTTACATTCAGTCATTGCATCTTATTTCCAATTACAACATAACCTCATGGAGCAATGGCAGTTACCATGCTTGTACAGGACTGAGAACACTATAACTTTTGAATATGATCTTAAAAGACTTTATAGACAATTATTATATTGACAGACATAAAAATACATTGGCTATATAGTGAATATTGTATATAGGCAGATGTAAATAGTTTTCCAGTAATTGAAAACACTGACATTACTAAACAAATGCTAAATATATATTCTTGCTGTTATCAGTAGCCAAAAGCGGTCACATCATCATTCAAATTCAAAGGCTATAGTGCAAATTACTGCAAACTATTTGTAAAGAGAAACATGCTACATATATCAATTTAATAATGATAAACTTAAGGGAAGATGAAGATAGTCTTGTTCAGCCTATGCTCACAGATACAATTTGAGAATACTCTGGAGAAAAAAAGAAGCACAGGTGTATGAATGGGGGTGTGCCAGGGAGAAATCGTTCCGTTTCATGGTGGTGATATCCTTGCAATCCCAGTATCACCATCTTTTCACTACGTCATTCAAAAATTCTATTGGGAAAAATAGAATTCACAGCCCTGGGAAAATAACAAGCCTGGTTGTGTTCAGATCTAATGCATCTAGAAAAGAAAAGATGGTTGAATACTACCATAACCATAAGCTTTATGAATTTTTTATTGCCCACAAGAAAGGACAATTTTCAAAATCAGAGCTATTGCTGGAATCACCACTGCTCAAATGGGAGGACAGATGAGTTACATAGAGGCAAAAAAGGTATTCAGTGGTTTACCATAATGTGCACCTTGCATTCAGTACTAAACTTTTAAAAAAAAACAACCCACAGGATTTTAAAATATTCATAAAAAATCAGATAAGGAGTTCTGTTTTTTTCAGAGATGAAACACAATTGTGCTTGCTAGTTTTTAATGTGAGAGGCTTTAATGATATTTTCCATTACAATACTGTAGCTGCTTGTGCTGATATTGTAAAACGTGATGACAACAATGACAAACTTCAAAAATGCAATTGCACAGATGTATCTAATCGAGAGTTATAGGGCACATTCAGTGGTAGGTCCTGGAATAAGTTCCCAAATCACTATGTCTGAGGACATTTCTGTAAATGCCTCCTAACACTGCCAGCATTTAGCCTTCCTATTTTAACTGCCTTTTCTTAATGTGGGTGAGCAGCATGAAGACCTACTGAATTTAGTAATGGGAGTGCTACGCTCCTGGAATGATCCCCTGATCCACCTGGCCTCTGAAGTACAAAGAATCAAAGAAGCTCCAGACAGCATCCTCTGGAAGGCTGTAGAGATCGAAGAGCAAAACAAGCGGCTTCTAGAAGGAATGGAGAAAATAGTTGGGCGGGTAAGTATTAGGTCCTTAATGTCCTTTCAGACTGTTGCTGTAAGGAAGACACATAGAATGATAGGCCCTCCCTATCTAGAATAGGAAAGGAAAAGCAGATGTGAAGGAAAAAAAGAGAGCTGAGAGAGTGGAATCTGAGAACTTTTCAGCCTTCTTCTTTCAGCTTTCTTTTCTTCTGCTATCTTGCAATTTCTAAAGAGACAATGTGATGTGACTGGCATAGCATAATCTAGTGTACTTCCAGTCCTGCTTTCAAGGGAATGTGTAACCATCAAGACTAGTAATCATCATTCTATAATCGAGTATTTTGAATTTGCAATCCTGATTTTTTAAGGATGCATCTGTCTTTTTTCACATGCACATATTTATATGTATGTTTTAGCATATTTATACACATCCGTATACATCTAGGTATTGTGTATAGTTTTCAGAAGCAGATACTGTGTTTAAAACTGTTCTGGACGTCTGGGATATTGCAAAGATGTGGCATACAGCAAAGTAATCGTTTTATCTTTCATTTCTCTTTTCACACCATACTGACTCCTCTGAACTCTGGTTCTGACTTTGTTCCTCCTACACTTGTAAGGTTAGACAACAAGGCTGTCTGACAAACCTCATACTCGAATATTCCTTGTTATCAGTAACTGACTGAAGCTTTCCTAAATCAAATCAGCTCTATCTTGTTTATTTGTAAAGGGGCCTCTGTTAGTCCCTGATATGTCATTGTGTCAATGAGCTAGATGTTAACAAGAGGTTCTGAGTTTACAGGCTTTTGCTTAAGCTTTGAACAGCTGAAGAGCATTAAGAGCGCCACCATCACTGTATCCACCACTTTCCACTGGATCACTCATGGTGTCTCTCTCTTTCAAGTTGGGTGCCTCTTTATTCAGAAACCTTAGTCTATCCAGGGCCACAAATGCATTTATCAGTGTAATCAAATACATCTCTATACCATATCCACATGTAAAGAGGATGCAAGTGAGGTTCCAAGATAACAGTAGAAGTCAGTGCTGCTACAGTTACCCTGCCACCATCTTCTCATTCACATTAGGGTTTCTATAAATACACTGGCAATAAAAAGAGAACTAAGGAGAGTCTCCCCCCTCTAGTAGACATAGGGGGAAGAATAGTAACTGGGGATGAGGAAAAGGCTGAGGTACTTAATGCCTTCTTTGCCTCAGTCTTCAGTAGGAAAACCAGCAGTACTCTGGGTACCCAGTCCCCTGAGTGGAGGGACATGGATGGTGAGCATGGAAGCCCCTATAATCCATGAAGAGGTGGTT